AGCCCGGCTGGCACAGCTGGTCTGCCAGCCCTTGCAGGTTGACTCAGGAGCGTCAGCTGCTAGCCGTGCAGCAGTAATCCTGTGCAAGAGGCTGGTTTAAATTCCACCTTCCCCACGTCAGTGAGTCAGCGATGCCAAACTAGGTGCCCGAGTACAGCTGGCCGCCGGCCCCTACGATGCTTTCTGGTCGCCAGAGGGGCAGTGGGCGCTCTGTGTCCTCTGTGATGAGGCCGTGCAAAGGCCCGACATCACAAGATGGAGCGCAGCTCCAGACATCTACTGAGCCCCTGACCCTGTGGACCCTCCCCCCGTGTCAGGGCTCCAGGGGGTGGGAGAGGATGGAGGCCCCATGAGGAGGCCTGGTCAGATCCAACACTGCAGGGAAGTCAATTGCCAGGGTCACTGGAACAGAACACGTTAGAGCCAGATACTTTACGACACGGCAGCCATGTCAGAGACTGGTTTGACAAAACCAGTTGTCACAGACATTTTTGGGGTCATTTGGGGAAATCTGAATATGGTTTGGGTATTTGAAGAATTCACAAAAATATTTAAAGGTAGAGACTTTGTTTTTCCTTGCTGGCATAGGTGTGGGCTGGGCTATGTGACACAAGGTAGAGATGTCAAGTGACAAAAGCAGGTACTACAACGACAGGTATAGAACAACCTCACTCTGGTTAAGAAAGTTTATCCGAAACGATCTTCGGTGAAGCCTGCAGAGTGGGGACGAGGAAGTGGGGGGATGTGCTTTTCAAATTATTTTTCTTTATTATCTAATTTTCTATAAATATAAGTTACATATTTTAAAATATAGTAATAATGACATAATATATGTTGACATAATTAACAACACATGTTAATAATATATAACATGAGCATTATTATATGTATTATCTGTTATTATATAACAGATATATGGAATATGGTTTTCTGTCACGTGCACAAACCGGGTCCGCTGTTTTAACAACCGCTTTCCAAGTGCGGCTGCAGCGCTGGTTGTCGCCGGTGCCCCGAGAGGTGGGTGGGGCAGCCGTTCAGTGGGACGGGGCAGCTTCTACTTTCTTCCTGGTCTGAGATGTTCAGAAACTGCTTCTCTGAAGGCTCTGGTCCCCGCTATAGACGTTTATGATGTTCCTGGGTTTTTATCTGGGATCCTTGTCTATGCAGTCTCATAGTCATTTAACAAATGTGTGAATAAGATGTGCTTCGCACACATCATGTCATTTAATGGCCACCACAGCTGGTTGAGGGAGGGGGTGTCTAAGTCACAACACAGGCAGACTGAGGCTGGGGAGGTCGTGCAGCTCAGCGGGGCTGCCGGACAGCGAGGGATCCCCATCCCCACCCCCACCGGCGGTGTGGCCTTGGGCAGCGCGCCGCCTTCAGCTCCCTGGGCCTCGGTTTTCCGTCTTTAAATGGGGATGATGACAGATCGGAGCGTGTGAGAATTAAACAGGGCGACATACTTGAGAAAGGACTTTGCCGACCGTGAAACACTCGTTTCCAGCCCCGTGTCTCTGAGCGTTGCTGCTGCAGTCTGGGAAGTCTGCGGCATGGCGGAGCGTGGGGCGCGGGGCTGTGCTCAGGTGCGGGCAGGGCAGGGCCGAGGGAAGCCAGGAGGGGTGGCCTGTGACCGCTACTACCACCCCTGCAGCTGAAGAGCAGGAGGGAGGTGCACGTGGTCGGGAGAGGCAGGGCATCGGTGGGAGGACTCCCCAGCCCCCCCCCACCGCGGTGCTCCTCTTTGGCCTAAGCAGCCAGACGCTGGGGGGCAGTGGGGTGAGATCCGGCCTCGGGCTGCATCGCATATTGTCTAGACACAGGTAGGTGGCCTACATTCCTCACCTGCCACTCAGGTCTGCCCTTCCCACTGCAGCAAGGGACACCAACTCCCAGCCCAGGTGGTGCTGGGCCCTGCTCCTGTGCTCTGGGCATTGGGCTAAATATCTGGGGGCCTGGGGCTGCTCCAGGGTGATGCGGGGTATGAGTGGACAGAGTTGATTACAAAATGTACATGTAATCCGATTATAACTTTATAAACTGTGGGTGCCTGTGGACAAAGACTGGAGGGGAATGTGCAAAAAGAAAAATTGTAGCCCAAAGTTATGGCAGCCGTTTCCTCTTAAAATTCGTGTAATGTCGCCGTGTCATGTTGCTACGGAGTAATGAATGTGGAGCAGGGGGAGGTCGGGGGCATTCAATGAGGCAAAACGGAGCAAGCCGTGCTCCTTAAAAGATGGTGTTATCTTCCCACAACAGAGAGGCTGGGATCAAGGGGACAACAGCGTCCCCCAGGCCTGGCTGATTAGTGTCGATGGCGCGACTGTTTCTAACTGCCTGCCTCAGGGCGAGTGTGAGATCCAGGGCTGTGTGCGCAGGGCGAAGGCAGCGGCGGTGCCTGTTGCAGTTCTGATGGTTAGACAGGTTCCCCGCAGGGAGTTTATCAGAGATGAAGTTCATTTACTTGAACCAAAATGAAAAATGTATCGATCGTTTTATCCTCCTAAAGTAGAGAATATTGAGGCTGATTTCACCAAGTTTTTTTAATACGCACTGATTTTTCAAAGAAAACATGGCACTTGTTTTATTAGAAGTGACATGTCCTTTCTAACCCAAACTGACTTAAGCACAAAAGGAGATTTTTTGGAGCTTCACATTCAGGTACAGCTGGATCTAGGTGTAGTGTTTTAGGGACTTGGTTTTTCTCCCATCTCTCAGCTCTGTCTCCTGTCACTGGCTTCATTTTTCTCAAGTTCCACGTGGTGACCCTTGGTAGCTCCAGAGCTGTATCTTCCCAGGTTTAGGTCCAACACAAGGAATTTTTTAAAAGTATCTTTTCTCAGTAGCTTTTAAGTCTTGGAATTTACTGTATTTGGACCGGATTGGGTCATGTGATCATTCTTGACCTCATCTCTGTGGCTCAGGGAGTTTGGTGCCGTGACTGGCCAGTCTTAGGTCACGTGTTCCATTCCTGGTGCCATTGCATGGGCTGTGTGTGTGTGCATGGGCTGTGTGTGTGTGCACGCACGTGTATGTATGAGAGAGAAAGTGGAGGTGTTACTGGTGGGGGAGGGGATGCTGTTGGCTAAGACGGTAACTGTCTGCCCCGTCCCTCCGCCAGGAGCCCTCTTACTCCAGGACTGCAGGCCCGGACTGCGGGTCATGGCTGTGCCTGTGGGCATTGTCCTGTTGGGCACAGTGTGGGCAGGGCAGACAGGCAGTGGGGGGCAGGTTGTGCCTCTGATGCCAGTTGGTGGCCGGAGCCAGCCTCCCCTGTCCCCTGCCCTCTGCCCCTGCATGGCCTCTGCAAACTTCTTGTTGACATCATTTTACATAAAGAACAGGAGCAGCGGAGATTTTGGTGTCCTGGGGGGTCCTGGGACCGGTCACTCTTGGGCACCGAGAGACCACTGTGCTTTGGGCCACCTGGATAACGCAGGGTAATCTCCTCATCTCAAAATGCTCATCCTGGTCACATCTGCAAAATCCCTTTGCCACGGAAGGTGCCAGCCACAGGTTCCACGGAGTAGAACGTGGACACTGTTGGGAGGCCTTTATTCTGCCCACCAGGGGACTTTGCCCATATTTGGTGCGGTGTCCCCACTGTCTGCAAGTGTCCTTGGCACGTAGTGGTACTCAACACATGCTTGCCGATTGGATGGGTGCAGCATCCCGTACTGACCCCGCTCTGGGACAGGTCATATCTGTTGATAAATAGGGACCTCCTGCCGCCCCCACCTCCCCCCCATGCCATGCCCTCACAGAGTGGTGCTCAGTAAATACCCAGTAAATACCCCCGAGAACAGGGCGGGGCTGGGAACAGGGAGGTGAGGAGACACAGCTTCCAGACCACGTGGCCTAAGAGGGTGGAACCTCTCCCCCATCGTCCTCCCTGCGCGGCCCCTTTGTGGAGGTGTTGGTCTGGGTGGTGGATCTCAAACCTGGCCTCGCATCAGAAACGCCCCTAGAATTTGTCGGGAAGAGCCGGTGCTTCCTCCCTGGCTCCCAGCAGACCGTCCTGTCCCGGGCGCTCCAGCCCAGCGGGTCCGATTCCGTGTCTCCCAGGGCTGCCCCAGCAAATTACCACAAACCAGGGCGCTTAAAACCGCAGAAAGTTACTCTCACAGCTCTGGAGGCCAGAAGCCCCAAATCCAGGTATCTCCAGAGCCGCACTCTCCGAAGGCCCCAGGGGAGGGGTCTGTTCTTGCCTCTTGCAGCTCCTGGTGGTCTCGGGCGTCCCTTGGCTGTGGCCGAGTCACTCCAGCCCCTGCCTCTGTCTGCACGCGGCCTTCTTTTGTCTCCCCTCTTATAGAGACACCAGTCATTGGATCTGGGGCCCACCCTAGTCCAGTGTGACCTCGTATTAACTAATTACGTCCCCAGAGACCCTGTTTCCAAATAAGGTCTCATTCTGAGGTTCCAGGCAGACGTGAACTTTGGAGAGACGCTATTCAACCCGCTACGTCTCAGACCGAGTCTACTCTAACCTTGAAATTTCAAGTTCCCGCTCTTTTTCCAGCTGAAAAGATTTGTTTTGCGTGAGAGAACCTCCCCTGCTGAAATTTAACTTTGGAAGACGGCCCTTTCTTCCTGCCCCGTTTCTGTGCTCGCCCCCAGCCCACCCTGGCGCTGTAGGCAGCACGGGCTTCGGGCCAGCTGCCAGCGTCAGCATCTTTCAGGGAGGGCCTGGGTTGGAATTTGAAGCTTGGAGCTGAAGTTTAAGTCCACACCCTCATACCAGTTAGCTGTGTGACCCTGGGCAAGTCATTCTCCCTCTCTGAGCCTTAGTTTCCACTCTTGTCAATGTGGACAATATCCAACCCCTGGGTCTCATTTTTCTGGTACTGGAATGGGTGGGCACAGAGTGGGTGCACAGCCAAGGTAGGCGCACAGTGGGTGTGCAGCAGAGGCAGGGTGACTGTCTTGTGAAAGGACTCGGGAGGCTCCCTCAATCCCCTCCTTACTCGGAACACGCTGACTTTCATCGTTGTCTGTCGCAGCGCTGTGGGGAGCGAGGAGGAAGCAGCTGAGCTGGGTGCACTGAGAAGGCCTCGGCGGTGCCCATGGCTGGCCAGGACCCCGCGCTGAGCACGAGTCACCCATTCTACGATGTGGCCAGACACGGCATCCTGCAGGTGGCAGGTAGGTCCCCGGCTGAGGAGTCCCCAGGACGGGGGCAGTGCTCGCCTTCCTCTGGGCCCCGGGTGAAGGGTGGGCTCCTCGGGGGCTGCCTCGCCCAGCCAGCCGTGCCCACCGAGTGAAAGTCGTAATCGGAACAAGCGTGCCTGCCGGTGCTCCGAGCAAGCAGCCACGAGCTTGTCAAAGCATCGCCCAGGTGCTCTGAGGAGCCCCGGGGCAGCGTCCTGCCAGCCTTTAAGGAGCAGAGGCTGAAATTTAGCAGATTGTAATAAAGTGCCCAAAGCAACAAGCGTCTGCAAACACTTGGAAGACGAGCAGCCCCACGCGCGGCAGCCGCGCAGAGCGGAACATACGGCATTGCTTCGGTGCAGATCGGGCCCCTCCGTGTCTCTCGTGGGCGGTGACTCTGACCCTCACCTCTGTGTCCGCCACACTGAGCTCCACAGCCATTAGCCGTCGCCTCTGAGGAGCCAGAACCTTGTCCAGACAGTGGACAAAAGAGGCCCAGTTCTCAAACAGTCGAAGACACCAAAACGTACAGCATACATTTCAGTGCACGCCTGTCCAGGAGCGGCACCGAGGGCAGGGGTTTGATGGGCACCCCGTCATTTGAAGCCCCACATGTCCTTTTTAGAACTTTTTAGGTGGAAGGACGCGGGACCCAATGAGGGGAACGTGGGTCCGTGGGTCAGGTGCCAGCAAAAGGAAGGTGGGAAATATAGTTATTTTTCATAAGACATAACAAATGTTGTTTGTGTTAACATGCAATGGGATTATTTTTGAATTTTCTATTTTAAGTTTTCTAACATGGTAAATATCTGCAAATATAACCCACATGCATTTTTCCTCCCCTCCCTGCAAAAAAAAGCCCTTTGGGCTGGGCATAGTGGCTCACACCTATGATCCTAGCACTCTGGGAGGCTGAGGCAGGAGGATCGCTTGAGGTCAGGAGTTTGAGACCAGCATGAGCAAGAGTGAGACCCCATCTCTACTAAAAATAGAAAAAATTAGCTGGGTGTGGTGGCTCTCGCCTGTAGTCCCAGCTACTTGGGAGGCTGAGGCAGGAGGATCGCTTGAGCCCAAGCGTTTGAGGTCGTAGGGAGCTATGATGATGCCACTGCACTCCAGCCTAGGTGACAGAGCAAGACCCTGTCTCAAAAAAAAACTCTTTGAAGTCCTTATTAATAATCTTAAGAATATCGATGGGTTCTTAGACCTAAAAGTTTAAGAATCAATAGCCTTGTATGTACTTGTGAAGAATATGTTATGCATTGTGGGGTAGAGTGTTCCATGTATTTCAGTTAGGTTGATTAATAATTGGGTTGTTCAGATCTTCTGCATCCTTACTAATATTGCTGTCTAGTTGTATCAATTATTGACAGAGGAGTGTTCAAAGCTCCCCACAATGGACTTTGTAAATTTCTCTGCTTAGTTCTGTCTCTGCTCGGTATGTTTTGATGCCTTGTTGCTAGGAGCACATATAATTAGGGTTATTACGTCGTCTTGATGTATTCACCTTTTTATGGTTATTAAGTGGCCTTGTTTATGTCCAATAACACCTTGTCTTATGCCAGTTTTTTTAATGTTAATATAACCACAACAGCCGTGGCAGCTTTCTCATCACTGATGTCGGGGTGGGGGGGGATGTCTCTTCCATCCTTTTCCTCTCAACCTGAGTCTCTGCACATCGAGTATATCTCTTATAAACAGCTTATCATTGGAGCCTTTAAAAATTTTTCTTTTTTTTTTTTTTGTGAGACAGAGTCTTGCTCTGTTGCCTGGGCTAGAGTGCCGTGGCATTATCACAGCTCCCAGCAACCTCAAACTCTTGGGCTCAAGCGATCTTCCTGCCTCAGCCTCCCAAGGAGCTGGGACTATAGGCTTGTGCCATCACGCCCGGCTAATTTTTCTGTTTTTAGTAGAGATGGGGTCTTACTCTTGCTCATGCTGGTCTGAAACTCCTGACCTCAAGCTATCCTCCCGCCTCGGCCTCCCAGAGTGTTAGGCCGGGCGAGGTGGTTCATGCCTGTAACCCTGAGAGTAGTGTTTTGTAAATAAAGCTGACTTTAGTATTTTAAGAAGTGGTCATCATGGCGCTAAGTGTGTGTTTTGGGGCCTGGGTCTGAGGCTGAGCGCTCAGAGTGGAGATAGTCGGGTGGCAGGAAGCAGAATGGGGAGATGGAAGGTTCCAGATCTGAGGGCCTGAGCAGAGGAGGTGGAATCTCACGGATAGAGGGAGAGAAAGAGAAGGACACACCAGAGCTGGTCCTGTCGGACACACGTCCATTCCCTCATGTCCAGATCTTCCTGCACAGCCCATCAGACCCCAGCTGGGCTTTCCTGCAGGACACAGCCAAACTCCTGCCACTTCTGCAAACACAGGTGGCAGCCTTTGAACGAAAACCAAAACCAAGAACAGACGCGCTCCCGAACCCCTCCGGATAGACTGCCACTGCCTTTGCTGTGCGTTTTAATTCGCTGGGAGAAGATGACGGGCGGCTCGAGAGTCCGGTGGGTAGCAGCTCTGGAGCCGCTTCCTCGTTCATACTATGGGCTTCTCCCGCTGCAGGGACAGCGAATGATGTGGCGTTGATACAGCGAGGGGAGAAACGGGGGTCATCAGTTAATCCGATGCCTTGCAGAATTGCATTTTATTGATAGTTTTCATTTCCTTCCATGTCATATCATTTTGAAGTCTGTTTTTGATACGCTGGCCTGTGTCCCCGGCGCATGGCGACAGGGTATTCACTTGTGCTGGTGCACGGCGTTAGCAGAGATGCAGCGCTGACAGCTGAGCGAGTGGGGTGCCGAATGTTCCAGGGAGTCTGCGTCCAGGCAGCCAGGAGCGTGGAAGGCCGCTCGGGCCGTGCCATGCTGCGGGCAGAGGAAGCCGTGGGTGCCAGGCTGGGGGCCGGCCTCAGCCAGCTGCTAGCAGAAACCCACCCGGATGCTCCCTTGGCCTCCGGGCCTCAGTTTCCTCACTTGTAAATGAGAAGATGGGCCACAGGGCTCCTGGAAGCACCCTGCATCCTACTTGGCACATGATAATGCCTCGCAACGATTAAGCGCTTACTGTGTGCCACGGCTATGCCAAAACTTTGTTCAAGTTACTGATTTAATCCTTCCTGAAACCCTCCCAGGCAGTTTTATTATTTTCTCCATATTTCAGGTGACCAGAGAGGCTGGCCCTGGGCTGCCCAGCTGGGGAGTGGAGGGATATTCTACTCCTCGGGCGGGTACAGCCCTTTGCTCTTTCTCTCTCTCCCCTCTCTTTTTAACTTTTTACTATGGCATTCCCAAGTGTTCCAAATGTAGAGAGAATAGTATAAGGAACCCAATTTCTCTACCACAGCACTTGCTCTGAGCTTTGTAAGAGCTCGTCAGGTCTGAATAATGCCGTAATATTAGTTTGGAAGGGCGTTTAGAAATCTGTTGTTATGAAAAGAAAATGCCAAACCAGTTGCCCTTTGGTACTGGAGGGAGTAAGAGGCCTTCGATGGGAGCTCACCTTCACAGCTCCCTGTCAGGCAATGCCATGGACCCTGCAAACGCTAGGCGCTCAATACGTGTTTATCAAATGAGGAAGTGAATGAGTCAGCGCTGTATGCAAATAGGATGCTGCTGGGGAAAGGGGGCTCAGCGCAGTGTGGGCTCTGGGCTCCCACCCAGCCCCACCTTCCTGCCTCGGTGCGTTTGTGCGTGCTGTGCTCTGCCCAGGGGCCCTCTTACCATGGGTTGCAGACAGCAGGCTGGAAGGGGCTAATGGCGCTGCCGGTGCCCCTCATGGCCCATTGCTGGCTCCTCAGGGGTGTTCATCCTGACCTGCCTGTCTTGCCTTCGACCCCGCACTCCTCTGCCCCCACTGGGCCAGCTGAGGTAGTGCATCCCCTGCCCGGCCAGCACGAAGCCCTGTCACCAGCAGTAGGCATAAGTGCGCTGACAGGCCACAAGCCCCTCCCCACCCACTGTTAGGAATGAGGGAAGGGAGGGAGGCAGAGGGAGCCCCTGGTTTGGGACAGGCCTGTGGGTATGAGGAACAGGCGCTGGGACCTGGGGCGTATTCGTGACGGCCGCTGGAGACCTGCTGTGACCCAGTGTGGCCCAGAGGTTCTCTTTCTCCGACGCCAAGTCTGACTGACACCCTCCCAACAGGTGTGGCAGGACATGTCCGGGGACCCCCTGATGCACCTGGTGGCCACCCCCACCCCCATAGGCCTCCCAGCCCCTCCTCCACCCCTGGGCTGTCACCTCTGTATTGGGACTCAGGGACCCCCGCCTGCAGCCCCAACCCTTCCCCCAGCCCCACCTAGTGCCTCCGCTGCGCCAGTGGCGATGACCCGGGCGGTCACGCCCACGCGCCGAGACCCCAGTGAGAGCGCTGGGTTCAGAGGCTCAGCTGCGCCCCCAGGTTGGTGACGGATCGATGTGCCAGGAGGCTGATGCTTCCTAACTCCATGGGAGAGGCCACGGAAGCTCCATGGCCAGGACCCTCCCAGACCTCACCCTACGTGTCCCCTCACGTGGCTGGTCTTGAGCATGGTGCCTTCCTGCGTTGTATGAGTCGTTCTAGCAAATTAGTAAACATGAGGGGGTCGTGGGAGGCCCCAGATTTGTAGCCAGCTGGTCAGAAGTGTGGGTGGCCTGGCGTCTGAAGCGTGGGCAGTTTCAACCTGCGAAGTGTGGCCTCGGCCCGGTGGGGTCATTGCAGACACGGGTGTGGCTGTTGGAGCTCTGGCTGGTTCTCGGAGAGTGGGGGCTTGCGGGGCTGGGCCAAGACCTCCCCACTTGCCTTATCACTGTCCTTTCCCCAGTCTGGGGCCCGGTAGGGGCCGTGCCTCGTCCTTTCTAGAGCTGAGAGCACCGTGAGCCCTCAACAAACGCTCATCGAGCCGAACTTCCATTGGCCGAAGTATTTAGCACGTGCCTAGGCCTTCTGCGCTTGGTCTCGTTCCGGAGATGGCTCCATGTTTTTGACCTTTTGATGCTCATGTGAATTGTTTCTTCCAGCCCTAGAGGCATTTAGTTCCTTGTGTCTTCAGTCGCCGCATAAATGATTCGTAGCTTTAGAAGCAAAGTTGTTCTTTTCCTGTTCGTCCCAGGGGGGCCAAGGTCAGCCGTGGAACCCTGGCCACCACGAAGTAGAAACGGTTTGGAAAACAGTCTGTACTTTCAGGCACAGCCATCGAAGGTTTTGTGCCCGAAAACTCCCGTTCGGCAAGGGAAGCGAATCAACGTGTGGGTTCAAGTGCAGCCGTCCCACACGGGAGCTTTCTAAGCAAACGGCAAGCGTGCCCTGAATCGCTAAGGAATCTGCGCAGCGAGAAGGATGCTGCATTTGGAAACCGTGAAATCACTCTAGAATTCTGATCATCGGAGTGGCTCCCAGGCTCCTGGGAAGAATCGGACGCGTGTCCTAAATAAAAAGCAGCTCCCTGGGCAGGCAGCCAGGCGAGGACATCAGAGAGCTCACGCGCTGTGTGTGCGGGTGTGTGCGTGCCTGCATGTGTGTGTGTGTGCATGTGTGTGCCTGTTCATGTGTGTGCATGCATGTGTGCCTGTGTGCGTGTTCATACGTGGGCATGTGCATATGTGCACTGCGCGTGTGCGTGCATACGCATGCCTGCATGTGTGCAGTCTTGATCCATGACCTTTCAGAGCCGTGGGGGTGGGAAAGCTCTGCTGCTGTCCTTTCCCGTTTCAAGGACACGCTGTGAGAACAGACGTAAATACTAGCAAGAAAAGTGAGTTTGAAGTCATGTACGTTTCTAGAGTGGTCCCCTTCAGGTTCCTGATGATCTTTCTGTAGTTAGTCCTTCGGTCAATCAGTGAGTATTGGACGTAGTTTGGGACCGAGCAGGACGCAGTCCCTGCCCTCAGGGGCCTTTCAGTCCGGGGAAGTAGGTGGCCACGTGGGCCTGGGGCTGAGCTGGGCAGTGGGCGTGGGAGCAGGGGGCCCCTCCGGGTACGAGGCACGTGAGCCGAGCTGGGAGGACTGCCGGGGTTAGGCAAAGGGGGCGGGAGGACTGCCAGGGTTAGGCAAAGGGGGCGGGAGGACGGCCGGGGTTAGGCAAAGGGGGCAGGAGGGCAGCCGGGGTTAGGCAAAGGGGGTGGGAGAACGCAGTGGGCGCTGGGGAACAGCACGTGGACACAGGAGGCAGAGAGAAGGTGGCATGAGAGGCCTGGAAGATTCCAGGTCAGTGGGGCATGGCTTGCAGGGGTGAGAGGAGAGGAGTCCAGGGCATCAGTGTGCTGGGTGAGCAGCTGGGACTTTCTCCTAAGGACAGCAGGGAGCCACTGATGGCGGCATGTGGCCGCAGCCCGGGATCCTGTGTCTAGGGGAGACTCGCAGACCGACGCACACGATGGCTCCTGGCTGGGCCTCGGCACCTGCCCCCGTGTAGGGCCGGGTGTCTGGGTAGGCAAGGAGCCCTCGTCCAGGTGTGTCAGCCTCCTAGGGCTGCCGTAACAAAGTGCACAAACCACACATGTATTCTTGCACGGCTCTGGAGACCGTGAGTCTGCAAGCAAGGTGTCGGCAGGGTGGCTCTGAGGGAGAATGCACGCCACGTTCCCGGTGGCTGCGGCCGTCCTTGGTGCTCCCGGCTTGTGGCTGCCTTGCTGCAACCTCTGCTTCTCATGTCACGTGGCTGCCTTCCCTTGAGCCTCTGTTCTCAGATCCCCACTCCTGTCTCTTACGAAGACGTTAGTTGTTGGATTTGGAGCCTAAATCCAGGATGGTCTTATCTTGACCCTTAAGTAATCAGATCTGCAATGACCCTGTTTCCAAATAAGATCACATTCCAGATGGGCATGAGTTTTGGGAGGTAGGTTAGAGGCAGGCTGAGCTGCCCTCGGGCCCGTCCCTGAGATCCATCCTCAAGGTCAGCGCTGCCGTACAGGACTGCTGTGTGACAGAGATGTGCCAGTGCGGTCTCGCCACAGGAGGCTACTGAGCACTTGACGCGTGGCACTGAGGAGCTGAAATTTTAATCTTATTGAAGTTCATTTAAATTTCAATGCCGTGCATGGTGAGCGGCCCTGGCTGGTGGGGCCCATCCCTCCCCCTCCCCCTCCCTCCTGTGTGAGGACACGAAGAGGGCGCGGGCCTTGGGCTGGGCGGAGGGGCTCGTTTCTGCTCCAGCGTCCTGTCCCCAGACCCTACCGGGTGCCTCAGGCCCCCTGGGAGATGAGGACCCCTATGGACACCAGGGCCTTGGCCCCTTTGCATGGCCTTCAGCAGAGGAGGGGACATGCAACAGCTCGGGGCAGGAAGATGCCTTCCAGGAAATGAATCCGCTGGGCTGGGCCCTGGGGACAAGAAGAGGCTGGTGGGGGCCAGGCTCCAGGCTTGCGGGCCAGCAGGGGAGGGGACCCGGGCGTTCCCCGTCCTCCTCCTGACGAGGGGCCCAGTGTGGTGTTGGGCTCCCTCCCTGCCACCCAGCATCCCTTTCTGTGCCTGTTGTCACCTCGGCGGTGTTGAGTTGAACTTACTTGTGTCCTTGTGTGTTTAATTGTCGTAGGAAGCTGGGAAGTGTGGCAGCTGCCTGGTCCCTGTGTCCCCAGCCCTGGCTACGAGATAAGAAGGCTCTGAGAATCCAGGAGGCAGGGGCTGGACGTGACACTGGCTGCCGGTCCCCGCACATGGCTTTAGTCACTGCCATAGCCTTCCCGAGGGCATCCTATGTGCTGGGGGTCCTCTCTCTCAGGACTCTGGGCAGGGAGAGGAGGCAGATGTGGGCTGGGGGTGTCCCGACAACCTTCTGACCGCAGGTGGGGTGGAGAGCAGAGGCTAAGCGCCTGCTGTGTGCCTGGACCTGAGCCCGGGTTCTGGGGACACAGGTGATCAGACCCGGTCGCAGCCCTCAAGGGGGACCCCTTCCCCCAGCTGTCCCGGGTGGGCCCAGGTGTGTCCAGAGACAGTCACAGCACGGGGTGACCTGGGCCGTGTTGGAGGAAGGACCGAGTGTCGGTACCCCTGAGAGAGCTCCCGAACCCCACACGTGAGGTCGTGTCCAGGAGTCACTGTCCCCCAAGCCACCCTGCTCTCCAGGGCCCATGGTGCTAGAGGGGGTCTGGGGGAGGGGAGCAGAGTGGCCGGACACTGGCTTTGGAGTTAGACGTGTTTAGATTTAAATCCTCAGTGCTGTCAGCAGCTGCGTGGCTTTGCACTGGTGACTTAACCCTGCCAGGCTCAGTGTTCCATCTGTAAGATGGGCTGGTCACGAAGGTGAACCTGGGATGAACTTGGCAGCGTGTGCAAAGTGGCGTGTTGTGGATACACGGCTGGTGTCGCCTTTGAAGAATGCCGGCTGCAGGTGCCTCCTGGCTCGGGCAGGGCTGGAGAGGAGGCTGCTTTTTGTTAAGTGCCTGGGGGTTCTCCAGAGAAGGTGGCACAGAGGCTCACCGTGTCTGCTCCTCCAGGGGACGACCACTTTGGAAGACGAGTCGTCACGTTCAGCTGCTGCCGGATGCCCCCCTCCCACGAGCTCAACCACGGGCGCTTGCTGGAGTAAGTTTCCCGAACTTCTGCCTCCGCCTTCTCTGTGCCTCCCTCCCCCCACCCCAGTCGCCCCCTCTGCCCTGGGGCCGCTTTATGGACTTGCTGGCCGTAGAGCTCTTGCTCTCGGGAACCCACACGAGGCCACCTGAGGACACTCCCGGTCACCGGGCCACATGGCCGTAGCCAGCAGCACAGGGTAGAGCTGGGTTTGGTTTTCTCTCAGCCGCTGGGGCTCTGGGTGCCTGCCTCCCTCCAGAGTCGGGGACAGTCCCTTGACCCTGGGCGTGAGGCCGGCCCCCAGACGAGATGGCCGCAGACCGCCAGGCTTCCCTGGGCCTCCCTCAGGGAACGCCTTCCGGAGCTGTGCGAGTTTCCTGTGGCGCCACAAGAAACAGCCACATGCTTGGCAGCTTAAACAGATAGACGCGTGCTCCCCGGAGGTCAGCAGTGCAGACCGAGGTGTGGGCGGGGCTGCACCCCTCAACCCAGCCCCAAGGCTCCAGGGGAGGGTCCTTCCTGCCTCTTCCAGCTCCGGGTGGCCCCAGGCATTCTGGCTTGTGGCCCCGTAGCCCCATCTCTGCCTCTGACTCCACACAGCCCTTCCCCCTTGTCTCCTCCTCCTACAAGGACGCCAGCCCTTGGACTTGGGGCCGCGCCAGTCCCGCATGATCTCATCTTAACTCACTGCATCAGCAAAGACCCTGTTTCTAAATATGGGTTCTGCATGGATTTGGGGGGCACTATTCAAACCCAGGACAAGAGTCCTGGGCCTGCCACTACTGTTGGCGGCGGCTCAGCGGCTTTATCGAGGGCCTGCCGTGTGGCAGGCACCGGCTCAATGGTTGTCCCAGGCAGTGTCCCGACTGGACAGATGAGCTGGGCAAAGACATCGCCTTGATTCCCCCTTTCTTGAAAAAGAGTCATTGAGAAATGCACAAGTGACCATCCTTAGAAGTGACAAGTTCCCGGTGGCTCAGAGACACTTGCCCCCAGGCCTTTACCTGGCTTCCGAGAGGGCGCCCTGACGAAGTACAGCGGCTTAGCCCAAAGGGCGTTTGCAACAGCGAGACGCAGGGAGGACAGGCGTCGAGGTTGCTTCTATGACACGTGAGCTGAACCCAGGTACTGCGTGAGGCCAGGTCAGCATCACTTTTATACATCAGAGCAGGTGACGGGATGGGAGCAAGCACGGGTGGCAGCGCTCGGCTCTCGAAAGGCAGGACAGCGTGGACTTCCGAGCCAGACTGCTCCGTTCAAATCCTGGCTCTGCCCCTTAGCGGTTCACCGCCTCAACTGGCCTCTATTGACTTGTCGGTACAATGGGGACGATAGTACCTGCCTCACAGGGTCGCTGGGAGAACTGAGTGAGTAAAGCCCACGTGAGGCCTGCGGTTCCGAGGGTTTGGGCTCTTGACAGGGCGTTCTGATGCTGCTCAGCCGAGGAGGTGTGGGGTTCTGAGCGGCGAGGCCAGCCGGGCACCTGCAGGTGGGCGGAGGCTGCTGGGGTTTTCTCCTGACCTCACGGGCACCAGCCGCAGCCTCAGAGCAGCCAGGCCTGCCTTCCTGGGAGCCCACCTAGCCGGGTTCGTTACAGGACGTGCTCCTGGTGACGACACGGGGCACCCTGATGTCAGGGATCTCAGCCCGACCAGCTCAGCGACCAGCTCAACCCCCTCCCAGCAGGGGTAGGGTGGTCCTTCCGCAGCCCGTCCTCCTGCAGGTGGCGGGCAAGCCCTTTCCCGTGGGTAACATTCAGACGGCGCTTCCCAGGCATGGCAGGGAGGCTGGAACGTGGTCAGTGGGAAATGCATGGCACTGACGCTGCAGGAGGTGGTCAGGTGACGGGCGCAGAGCCTTGGCAATGAGAAGCCAAATATTGGGGAGCTCATTGGGAAAGAAGGACTTGTTTGCGTCAGAAACGAAGCAGAACAGTGCGGAGGAAGGGCCTGTGGTGGGGTGCACAGCGAGGGCTGTGCCGGCGGACAGTCCTGGGTTCAAATCCCAGCTCGCCCTCCGTGTGGTTCCCCGGGGCTCTTGTAACGGTGCACGGGGATTTCTTCTCTCGCGGTTCTGGAGGACAGAAATCCAAAGTCGGGGTGTCGGCAGGGCCGTGCTCCCTCCAGAGGGAAGCATGTTTGGTTTCAACGACAAGTGGGTGATTTTCGTAACCGAATCTTGTGTTTCGCGCCCAGGTATTTGAAGTACACACTGGACCAGTACGTGAAGAATGATTACACCATCGTCTACTTCCACTACGGGCTGAACAGCCGGAACAAGCCGTCCCTGGGCTGGCTGCAGAGCGCGTACAAGGAGTTTGACAGGAAGTGCGTGTCCGCGAGCCTCCGGGGACTCGGTGGGCAGGCCACATGGGTGTGGGCTGCGTGTGTCGGGAGTAGGCACTGGGCCACGAGGGGCACGGGCTATGCAGTGGGGCAGGCGGGGCTCTTCTCCTCGAGGGTGGGGGTCAGCACTCCTGTGCTTAAAGGGCCTGTCGATGTTTCAGCTTTTCAGGCCATCCCTTCTGTGGCAGTGACTCAACTCTGCAGGACCGTGTTCCAGCAAAATGTTATTTATAAATGCTGAATGTGAATTTCATGTCATTTTCACATGTCATGCAATAGTATCCTTCCTTTCCTTCCCTCCCTCCTTTCTTTTCTTTTCTCTTCTTTCTCTCCTTTCCTCTCCTCTCCTTTCCTTTCCTTTCTCTGGCTCTGTCGCCCAGGCAGGAGTGCAGTGGCATCATCATAGCTCACTGCAGCGTTGAACTCTCCTGGGCTCAAGTGATCCTCCTGCCTCCTGAGTAGCTGGGACTACAGGTGTGCACCACCATGCCCAGCTAAGTTTTTAATTTTTGGTAGAGATGGGGTCTTGCTGTGTTGCCCAGGCTGGTCTCAAACTCCTGTCCTCAAGTGATCCTCCCACCTTGGCCTCCCAAAGTGCTGGAACTACAGGGGTGAGCCACCACATCCAGCCAAAATAGTATTCTTTTGGTTTTTTTCAACTACTTAAAAATATAAAAACCATCTTTAGCTTGCAGGCTGTAGAAAAGCAGGCAGCAGGCTGGATTCGACCTGCGTACCCGTTTGCCGCCCTCTGGTCTAGTGAATAGTTGGCAAAGAAACAACCACACAACTATTTCTTCTGTGAATGCCCTTCCTGCTTGCTTGATATCTGTGCCAAGGGGCTTTCTGGCGCCTTGTGTCGGTGATGCGGGGGCAGCCCCATTTCATAGATGAGGACACAGAGGCCCCGGAGAGCAAGTAACTTACCCGTGGTCACTCAGCTTGTGTGTGGTGGGGCAAGACCCACCCCAGGCCCCTGCCTCCCTCTCCCACCCCACGCTGCTCACCACTCCGCTGTGGCCTGGAGTTGGCAGACTTTTTCCTGAGAGATGTCTTGCATAACAATCAACTGTGCAGTATATTTGGCTAATGGACGGCACCGTTGGTCATTAATGTTGGTATCCTAGATGCCTCTGGGTTTTCCTTCTTCTGAGACACACCCCAGATTCCTTGAGGGACCTCCCACTTCTCACTTGCTACGAATCAGCCCGGAGAAACAGACCCCACGTGAGCCCACAGCTGTCCCTGTCCTTTCTTAGGGGGAGGGGCCTGCTGCCAGTGTCTCCGTGTAGTCATGGATGACACCCATGTGGGAGAAAGCAACAGAAGTCCTTAAAATTTAGGCCAGGTGTGCCAGTGATGGATGTCTAACTCTAGCTGAAGGGTTGGAACCGTGTTGCCGGCAGCGCCTAAGCAGAAGACGACGTCGCCAGCCTGCGCGTGGAGGCCGTGGGTGCTCACAGAGTGATGAGTGGAACCTTCTGGGAGGGGCGGCTTCTAGTCAGCGGTCACTTAACCTGGGCCAGCGGGGACCAGGCAGGGGTGGGAGGAAGGTTGCGGGCTTGGTCTTCAGGTTGTCAAATGGAAGGAGGTGGCCGTGTTCTGTTGTGACTCTCCCACTCCCAGCAAGGTGGGTGGGGCGGGGCTGGGGGGTAGGGTAAGGATTTTGACTCAGTGGAAGCAGGAAGAAGGACGCCGTAAGTGTCAAAACCATCCAACAATGGAGCATCTGCGGGGGTGGTGAGTTCCTGTCACTGGAGGTATGCAAGTGGAGCTCCGAATCCGATGAGATGAGATTTATGTAGTGAGGGTTTTCAGTCTGCCACCGCTGCACCCCATTGGGTTTCCCACTTTCTTTTCTGTTTTCTCTGCTGTTGGCTTCTCACCCTCCAGGCCATCCTGCTGGGTCACCCCTTTTGAGGGTACGCTGGTTCACACACAAGTGTTCATGACCCACTTCAGGGTGCTGGCCTCACCAGAGGGCTCCTGCTGCGGGTGGCACCTAATGACAGCCACCTGCAGCTCAGTCTGAGGGTGGACTTGGTGGCAGCCACCCTCTGGGCTCCTGGACAACCAGAAGTCATTGCTGGCCGCCCCTGCCCTGCACTGAGAGTCTATTTAAAAAAGAATTAACTAGTATCCCTTGGGGAGATACTTTGAGACTATAAACATCCTGCTCTTACTCAGAATTTTATGCAGTACTTTTAACCTTCACTGTTGCGTCTCGGCTTCATCATCACGACGATGGCCGAATGGCGATTTCAGTCACTAGTTGGCATTTTACCCTAAGGAAGAGCTTTTTCTTCTCTTTGCTGATTTGCATCCATACGGACATGGGACTTCCTGTTTTATTCAGTGGGTTGTAATCCATTGCTACCGCGATTTATTTTAATGATCAATTGTTCCAGATTTGCTCCTTGGGCTGTCCCAGGTCCTGACACGTCCCCGCTGCTCTTCCACATTTCTTTCCCTTCCCGGGCTCCCTGCAGTGTGGAACACCGTCTGGGGACCACGGTCCACGCACTAGCAGTGCTCGCTGCCTTTTGCACACGTACCGATGCACACGAGCACGCGTCGCCGTCGTGCTCACGGTTTCCTGTCCTTGCACACCGGGGAGCCCGAGTTCCCAAGCCAGGGGGCTCGTCCCGGCTTTCTCGCTTTCTGTGCTGTGCCCTCTTCTCCGCGGTGTGGCCCCTTCCTCACCCAGCCTGGGCTCCAAAGCCCCACCTGGGCTGCGGCCCCCTCGCTCCTCCACTCGGACGCCCTCCCTGTGCCGTCTGGGCTCAGGCACCTCTTGCTGGGCCTGTCACTCCCCGCCCTTCCCACTCCATCCTGGGTCTGGCCTGGTGGCTTAACAACTGGCTCTCGGGCGTGGCGTGGGGGCTGGCTGGTACCGTTCGCGTGTTTCTGTGGTGTAAACCCTGCCACCCTGGCTGGTTTCAAGCTACTGATGTGACATCACTGGACAGAGTCGGGAGGAGACAGGAGCCACCTTTATATAGGTGTCCGCCACGTGGCTGCCACAGACACGTGTGTGCTCTGCAAGGTGTAAAGCCCCATGTGCGTGCCTGGTGGGGGGAAAAGGGGTCCTGATTTTCCCCAAGTTCAAACCCCTTCTATTTTTTGTTTGAATCCCTTAAATTGACCCTGATGAGAAACAAAATATTCTGAGACTGGTGGTTGAAGCGACTGTTTTGTGGTTATCCGGCTTAGGACGTGTCTCTGAGTCTAGTGGCCGGAAGTCACCCCACGCTTCCCTCCTCAGATACAAGAAGAACTTGCAGGCCCTGTACGTGGTGCACCCCACCAACTTCATCCGAGTCCTGTGGAACATCTTCAGACCCCTCATCAGGTACAGCTTGTTCTGGGTGAGGCCCTCCCCGGGGGTGGGAGCTCTTGGTCCTCGGTGTCCCTGGGACCCTGCAAGTACCATGGAGATCCCATCTGGGGTGCCCATGTGTCTTGGCGCCCCTCCCACCCTGGGGGTCTGCAGTGGGTCACACCTGCCCCAGGTCACGCACCGTGACCTTCTGAGGGTCACGGATAAGAGTGCCGGCCTGAAACACCTGTGAGGTTCACACCTGGTGTGTAAAGTGCTCCCTGGGCGTTGGGAGAGACTGGACCTGTGGCTCTGAGAGGCTCCGCTGGGAGAATTCCTGAATCAATGGGCTTGAGTGGCGCCCGGTTAATAGGAGCCAAGGAACTGGTTTCGTTTTACTAGAATTTCCAGCCCGTTGTTCCCACCGAGCTGCCGATGTTGCAGACACACACCTATTGGGGGATGGAGTTTTGTGTTTAACCAGGACTGGCACCCCGGTGTCGTATGTGCCATATTTGACGTCTGTGCCTGTGGACAGTTGTGCAGAATGGCAGGGGTGCCTCGGCCCTTAATGGGTTCCTCCCGTCCGCCACGGAGGGCGTGGGAGGCACGTGGCAGCCCTGGAGAGAACCCCTGGCTTCCTTCGAGCGGAGCCAGACTGTGCCCGAGCCCTGTGCAGTCTGAATGAGCCGGTGACAGGTACGCTCCTCACCAGCCCCTTCCCCCAGGGGCCTGGGGTGCTGGGACTTGGGCAGGCCTGCCTTTCTCCCTCCCTGTCTTCTGGGTGACGGGCACACCGCGCTTTGGCGGCTCTCCTGTGGCCTCAGCCTTCAGCCCGGGTTCCCTGGCCTGCTGGGCAGTGTCCTTGAGTGTAGAGACCTGGCGAAAGCCCCTGTGCGGGTGACCTGGGGTCCAGGCACCCAGGTCTGATTCTCCCTCGTCCACTAGGAGGAGCCGGTGCACACGGCTTGGCCTCCGGGGTCTGGGCTCAGGTCCAGGGGGCTCCTCAGGGAACCAGCCTGGGGCAGTGGGGAGGACCACAGGCTGGGAGCCGGCACCCGGGAGCTGTCCCATTTGCTCCTTCTAACTCCGTTTTTGTTTTTGCTTTTGCAAAGGTAATTTGGATTATTTTAATTTCACAATGTAAACAACATTGAAAATATGTGAGTGCTTATATTAAGACTTGCAAATTGTCATAAAAGTAACATCAAATATCTTTGGTTTTGCTCAACATATAATTTTCCTTTTCTGGTAACTACACAATTCTTTGCCCACATGAATAGCTGTACACCTTAAACAGAAACAATACTGTTCTAAGAAAATAACCCTAGACTGTCCCGCGGAGTGCCGGGGCAATGGGTTCCACGTGGAGCTTTGCTCACTTACATCCATTAGTGACCCTCGTCCTGCAGCTGGTGCTGAGCCTTGCTAAGAACGATGACGGTCACTAGTCTGGCAGGTGTCGGGCAGCGGACGGGTCCATGCAGTAGTCTTGTCCCGGGTATGGGGGGAAGATGCGGTTGCTGGACTCGGCCGGGGCTCGTCCGGCCCTGCAGCCACACTTGCTCCCCTGGGGTCTCCAGAGAGACGCTATTGTGGAGACAAACCTGGAGGGTCTTCGGTCCCTGCCCTCAGGGACGCTCTCAGAGGAGGTGGCCAAATGTGAAGCCATCACAGACTCCTGAAACCACAGGCGACTGAGGCTGCCCTGCGGTGGGCTTCGTCCTCGGAGCCCCTCCCTGCTGGTGGCTTAGCAGCCCGCTGCCTGCACCCCTGCGCCCAGGACAGGACCCGCTGGCACTCTCGTGCTATCTCCTGTATCTGCAAATCCAGGACAGATTCGAATTTGAGGGAGATGTTTATTCTTATGCAGGTGAGACACTCTGCCCCAGAGTGCCTGGGGCATTGGAGACCTGAGTGTGCTGTTTCTGTTATTTCAGGTTTTCGGTGTGTCGGCATTTGCGTTTTCTTAATATGAAAATGCCCACATTGTGCCTTCTGGTGTCCTGTCGCCGCCCCCGCCCCCCTCCCTGCAGCCCCGGTCTCTGCCACCGCCTAATCGTTTTTTGTTCTCTTGCTTCTGCTTTCTTAGTCACAAGTTTGGGAAAAAAGTCACCTATGTCAACTGCTTGAGCGAGCTCCGTGAACACCTCAAATGCGACCAGCTGCTGATCCCCCCGGAAGTTCTGCGGTGAGTGCCCGTGAGCTCCCGGGAATCCGCCTTCGAGCACCCGAAGGTCTCGGTCCCATCCGGTTCTCGTTGACGGCTCAGTTTCCAAACGTGTGCCGGGCCAGCGTTGGCTCAGAAATCCGCGGCGTCAACAAAGACGCACATTAAAGAGGCTGACTGCTGACTCGGAGAAACGAACCCGCGAAGGTTCTGCACAGGACAGGACGTCTCCTCGCCTGTCACTGCAAAGCTGGTGGAAAATAAGCAGTAATGTGGCAATTGCCGTTCGCTGCCTCGGCGTTGACCAATTTTGCTTTTGAGCAGAGAATCAGGGGACCGTCTTGGGTGTGTGGATAATGCCGTGTACAGAATGAAATGTTCTCAGGGACACGGGTGCTCTGGAAAACAACCTGCCTGCCAGATGCCGAGGCTTAATTGGCGTGTCTGCTGCAGGCAAAACGGGGGATCGGACAAAGCAGAGGGCGGCCGGGAAGGTGCGTGGCCGGCTGGCTGCACAGCCCCATAGCGGGGCCAGATCCAGGCCGGGTCTCTGCCCTCGTCCTGGGCCCCCTCTGCCCTTCGCGTCTCCCTCCCGAGGGCTCGTCTGACGGAGCAGGGCCCTTGCCCAGATGCGTGCAGCTGAGGCCGGTGGCCTTGCAGGGGGAGTGGAGGTGTCACTCCCTCTGGGTGCTGAGTCACGTGCTAGATGATGGGGACATACAGATGTCTAGGGAGTGTGGTCCCTGCCCTCAGGACACTGTCACGCTGGGGAGGGGGCCACAAGTGAGTGATGACAGGAGCCAGAGGAGGCACTGAACCCAGCTGGGGAGGGGACAGGTGTGTGTGTGTGTGGGGGGGGAGGGGCGAGGATCTGGGAAGGCTTCCAGGAGGAGGTGACTCTGAAAGTGAGTTTCAAAGGGACACTTGGCTAGATCAAGAGGCTGGGGGAGGACACTCCCAGCAGAGGGGAGCCCTCATGCAAACATTTGTGGGTGAAGTACGGGGGGACATTTGGAGGCAGTGAGGTGTCCCATGTGATCAGGCAGAGGGTGGGGAACATGAACTTGGAGGTCATCTTGGGCCGGGGAGTCCTCGGTGCCAAGCGGAGGAGTGTGACCTGGGCCCAGAGGCCACAGGGGGATGACGAGGGAATTCCTGGTCTGCCATGGGCTTGGCAAGACCCCCACCCCCAGCCTGCACTAGGGTGACCCCTGGGGCCTCTCTCATGGGCAGTGATGAGGAAGTCCGGTTTGAGGGTGAAGTGGACGGCGTCTGGGAGACACCAGCTCCAGCCGCTCAGCAGCCGCCGGGTGCAGCCCGAGGCTCCCGGAACACGCGGGTGGTGGTGACACCGGAGGCGCAGGGTCCTGTGTGGGGGGAGATTTGGGAGAGGCTTGGGTGTTGGTGGAGCTTCCGAACTCACTCAGCGGACGGCAGGCCTGAGGGCGAACCGCAGACCCTGCAGCGGAGTCACAGGACGCTCCGGGACCCCGGGCTGCGAGTCGATTCACACGCCCCAGCCGGGTGCTGCCAGCCCCAGAGCCCGCGACACCCTGGGGTGGGGGCAGGCCAGGGGGTTGGGTCCTGAATCCAGGCTGTGATCCCCGCTTGTGACCTGGGGCACAGCACTGGACCCTGACAAACCAGTTTCCTGATCTGTAAGGCGGGCGTAGTGACCCCTGCACCGTAGGGCCCTCGCGAGGGACAGAGATGTCTCAGGAGCCACTTAGCACACTGGGAACAATCGCGTGTGACTGCAGCCCCGCCCAGGAGCCGGCTTCCCCGCGGGCCTTCCCTGACCCCAGCGCCGTGTGTTCCCGCGGCTCCGGCTGCCCCACCGTGAGCTGCTGGCTCGGCCTGCGTGTTCCCCTCGTGCCCCGGCTGGGTCACTGCTGTGTCCACAGTGCCCGGCACACACCTGGGCTTTGGCACACACTTGCCTCCATGGAGGGAGGGAGGGAGGGACGTAAGGCGTGTGGGAAGCTGCTGAGTGCCGTGCGAAGGCTTTTTCTGCTTGAAGGCGTTAACGTCCCCTTCAGAGTTCATCCGCCCGCCTCGCGGTCATCCGTTCAATCGTGGTTTTATTCACTCGCTCAGCAGATACTTTCACTGAGCACCTACTGTGCCACAGGCCTGTTCTAGGCCCCAAGGAAAGAGCCAGGTCTCTCTAGCACCGTGAACCAGCTCTTGTCGTAAGTCCAGACACTCAGGAGACCAGGTGGTGGCCGCACCTGCCTTCTGGGCTGACCGCGTGGCTGGAGGGTGAGCCTGCTCTGCTGGTCAGGGCGGGGCCCCAGGAGAGAGTGGACATTTGACGGGGTGGGTGGGCTGTGCCTCCTGCCTTTCGTGTGAACGCGCCATGCAGGGCGGGGAGGGGGCATGTGCGCGAGGCGATGAGACGCTCAGCTGTCCCACGGGTGTTCGTGGGGCATCCAATCCCCGCCCAGCGCCTGGAAGTGGCCTCCGTGGCCTGAGGGTTCTGCCTGCCAGGTGAGAGTCGCTCTTCTGCTGTGTCCACAGGTACGACGAGAAGCTCCGGAGCCTGCACCAGGGCCAGCCTCCTCCCGCCGCCAAGACGCCGCCACCAAGGCCCCCTCTGCCCACCCAGCAGTTTGGTGTCAGTCTGCAATAGTAAGTGAACCCGGTCCGGGGCCTGCTCCTGTTCCCTGGAGCTGTGGGACACTTCTGCGTCCAGGGACCTTTCCCCAGACCTTTGCTGCAGCCACGCTTAACCCTGCAGGAAAAGTGAAGCAGGAGGCGGAGTCCTCGCTGCTCTGTGCCTGGGTGCAGGGGCGGCCCGGCCGGGGCTTCTAGCCCAGCTTTCATCCCTGCAGCTCTGGGGCCCTCCTGGCTCCCTGCCCTCCAGGTACGCAGCAGGGTGCGCCTTCCACCACCTTCCAGGGGGTGTGCTCATGCGACTTCGGCCAATGAAATGGGAGTGGGCTGTGTCGCATCTGGAGGGAGCTTTAGGAACCCGTGGGCAGGCCGGGCGGGTGGCTCACGCCTGTAATCCTAGCACTCTGGGAGGCCGAGATGGAAGGATTGCTTGAAGTAAGGAGTTCAAGACCAGCCTGAGCAAGAGCGAGACCCCGTCTCTACTAAAAATAGAAATTAATCAGACAACTAAAAATATACAGAAAAAATTAGCCGGGCATGGTGGCGCATGCCTGTAGTCCCAGCTACTCGGGAGGCTGAGGCAGGAGGATCGCTTGAGCCCAGGAGTTTGAGGTTGCTGTGAGCTAGGCTAACGGCCCGGCACTCACTCTAGCCAGGGCAACAGAGCGAGACTCTGTCTCAAAAACAAACAAAAAAAAGAACCCGTGGGCAGTGACCTCCCTCCGTGGTGACATGGCAGCCTAGTGGCAGCCCAGCCCAGATGGTGCGTCCTCACTCTGCATCCGTGAGTGAGCGTAGCAGGCACCCTGCCGGCACCCAGACTGGACACGGAGCACAGTGAGAATAGACTTGTGTTGGGCCCAGCTGCGGAGATGTGGGAATTGTCACCGCAGCATAACCTGCTCTTCCTGATTCCCTGTGTTGGCTGTGTGACCTTAAACTCACCCCTCCTCCCGCTGGTTTTCCTATTCCTGAGATGAGCATGTCGGATCATGTGATCATTATTCTTTAACGACTCCTTCTAAACCATTCTGTGCCCCCGTCCCTCCCCCAGCTTGGCCAGGCCAATGTCATCCATCTTTCGTGATTCAGTCTCGGCAGCACCTCCGCCGGGAAGCCTGCCCTGATGCTCTGGGCTGCATGTAGTGCTGTCGCCCGTGGCAGCCCTGAGCTGAGCAGGCCGCTGCAGGGAGTTTCTCTGACAGGAGGGCGAGTGAGGGAGACGCTATGTCCCACACTCGCCGTGGGGCAGTCAGGGACAGTCGTACCTGCGCTGGTGCGTCCAGGAGCGCAGTTTGCTCATGTCCAGGTGAGTCAGTCATTTGTTGTTAGAAACTCGCAGTGATTTGGCTTTTTACTTTAAAATCTGAGATCTCTAATGCCGTGGTGGACTTTGAAACACGTTGAAAGGTTTTGAGAACTGAGGGGTTCCGGGGGCATCCGCGCTGGGGGAGGAGGTGTGCGGCTCACTCGCCCTTCCCGCGGCCTCGGGAGCCAGGGAGGGCGGAGCAGGAGGCAGAGGAACGGCCCCCACGGATATCCACGCGTGATCCCCAGAACCCGTGAACAGGTCACCTTACGTGGCGGTAGGGCCTTTGCAGATGTGATTGAGGATCTCGGGATGGGCTTTTCTGGATCATCTGGGTGGGCCTGAGGCAGTCACGGGGTTCTTATAGGGGGAGAAGGGAGGGCCAGGGCCAGAGAAGGCAACATGCCACGGGAGCAGAGGTCGTGCTGTGGCGCGGGCCAGGAGCCGAGGAACCAGGCGCCTCCAGAAGCTGGAAAAGGCGAGGAATAGATTCTCCCCGGGGCCTCCGGGAGGAACGTCACTGCGTCCACTGTTTTAGACTTCTAACACCTCTAGAACCCTAAAGGAATAAATTTGTGTTGTTTTAAGCTACTGAATTCGTCGTAATTAGTTACAGCGGCTGCAGGAGAGTGACACGGGGCAGTGAGTGGCGGATGTGCAGGGTGGGGAGATGTATCTGAGCCTTGTTCCCGGCGCGAGGCAGGTGTGCTCCCAGCGAGTGTGGCCCGGCGTGAGCCTGGCATGCAGGCGCTGGGGGCGTCTTGGGTGCGCCACAGCCGGGACCACTGCTTCCCACACCGGTGTCCCTAGCCCAGCACCGACAGAACTCTGCCACAATGGACGTGGTCTGCACGTTCCAGTATGGCAGCCACTGGCCAAGTGTGGCTAGCGCAGTTGAAGCCCTGAATTTCTAATTTTATTTAATTTTAACTAATTTACATTTGAATGGCTGCGCGTGGCTGTTGACCACCATATTGGACAGCACAGCTCTGACTGTTGCATTTCACCCCCGTCTCCCTGACCCAGGCACACACAGGAATAGTCACTTAGAGAGGCATTTGGTAAGCACTTTGCCAACAAATCAGCAAGAGAGAGTAGTATATGTTGAAATGTAATGTACCCCCAGATACATCTGGAACACAAGTTTCACTGCCAAACGGTACTTCCTCTTCCTTTTCTAAACGCTGTAAAAATGTGCTATTGTGACCCATTCATCTGTCCTACTATTCCCTAGCGGCCGTCCAGAAAGGCAGGGCCAGGCACCTGCAGTGATGGTGGGACCCCTCTGGGGGTCGCTGCTGAGAACTTGGCCCTCGGGGACCAGGCCCCGGGAGCTCCCAACAGTAGGCCCCAGGATTGTCAAGCCGTTGAGTGACCACTTTCCCACGTTTCTGAGGCCTCTGCGCCTCCAGCCGGACGCTGGTTCTGCTGGGCAGGTACTGTTCCCAGGGTGCTCCGGCACAGGGTCCCAGGGCTGTTCCTCGGCCAGGGGACTCCAGCCACGCCTTTCCGATCATCTGTCTTCTTGTTCAGAGCCACTTCTGTCTTACCACCCAACAAAACTTTAAAAATGAAAACCAAAAACCGAAAACAAGCATAACTTAGACTTCTAAAGCCGTCTACGTGAGTGAAGCATGAGAGGAAGTGTCGCTCGTTTGCGTTCCGAGCAGGTGCCCTTCAGAACGTGTTGACGGGGAGCTGTCGGCTTCTGCTTTGACTGTCACCTGGCTGGGGCCATCCTGCTCCAGGGCCAGGGAACAATGAGTCACACTGGGCAGCCTTTGAAAACCATTCCGCGTGTGCTACTTGGGGAGATAATCTATGTGATTGCCTCTTTTTTTTTTTTTTTTTTTGAGACAGAGTCTCACTGTATTGCCCGGGCGAGAGTGCCGTGGCATCCTAGCTCACAGCAACCTCAAACTCCTGGGCTCAAGCGATCCTCCTGCCTCAGCCTCCCGAGTAGCTGGGACTACAGGCATGCGCCACTGTGCCCGGCTAATTTTTTCTATATATTTTTAGTTGTCCAATTAATTTCTTTCTATTTTTAGTAGAGACGGGGTCTCGCTCTTGCTCAGGCTGGTTTCGAACTCCTGAGCTCAAACAATCCGCCTGCCTCGGCCTCCCAGAGAGCTAGGATTACAGGCGTGAGCCACCACGCCCGGCCTAATTGCCTCTTTATATTAATATTTTATGCTGTTTCATTGCCAGTGATTATAATAAAGTGGCAATAAACATATTTTTTAAAGCACCAGATATGTAATTTGTTTGGACTGTGAATGAATGAAAGTCATTAAAATTCATAACCAAATCCTACTGATAAATGTTAATTTGCTGAGTTAAGTTCAAAAGCGTGCAACAGAAAGCTATCACCTTGGAACGAGCTAATTAAGTTAATATATTAAGGGGAAGTTGGCGATTCAAGAAGTCTTCGCTTGCTTACCGTCCCTGAAGGGGGAACACAGAAACATCTGAGTTCTGCCCAGGCAGCCATGGGCTGGTGGAGAGCTGGGGGCCTCTTTAGGGGAGGGGAGACAGGTCACATCTGGGCTTTGGCACTTTCCAGCTTTGGGAAGTCCACTCAGTGACAACTTCTTGTCCCAGTTTCTTTCCCTTATAGGAGGTGAAACCCTGCTCCCCTCACCGCCCAGGGCCACAGGAGCTTACCACAGGGTGCTTGGCCTGCTCTTCCTCCTCCTCCCTCACCCTCTCCTCCAGGAAGCCTTCTCTGATGACGCCACTCAGAGTAGGACGTAGCTGCTCCTGTGGTGCTTGTGTGTGACACGCACACACCCGCATTCTCAGGGCCTAGCACAGAGCAGGATTCAGTGACCGGATGAAGGACTGTCCTACAAGTGGGTGCAGGACACTGCCAGCCCTGGGATTATCTTTTTTTTTTTTTTTAAGTATGCAGTTAGGTGGTTTTAGTATATTCACAATATTGTACAATCATCACCATTACCTAATTCCAGAACATTTTAGTACCATTTTACATTCCCAGCAATAATGTATAAGAGTTCAGATTTCTCTGCATAGTTGCCAACACTTGTTATTTCTTAAGAAAATTGTAGCCGTCCTAGTGGATGTGGAGTATAGTTCATTGCGGTTTTGATTTGCGTTTCACTGGTAGTTAATGATGCTGAGCATCTTTTCATGTGCTTATTGGCCGTTTGTCTTCTCTGGATAAATGTCTATTTATTAGATCCTTTGTCCTATTTTTTATTTGGGTTGTTTGTCTTTTTATTGTTAGTTATAAAGGTTTTTTGTATATTCTGGATACGAGGCCTTTGTTAGATACATGATTTGCAAATATTTTCTCTTATTCTGTGGGTTGTCATTACACTTTCTTGATGGTATCTTTTGACGCATAAAGGTTTTACATTTTGATGAGTCTAATTTGTCTGTTTTTTTCTCTTGTTGCTTATGCTTTTAGTGTTTTATCTAAAACTATTGCCACATCCAAGGTCGTGAAGATTTATGCTTATATTTTCCTCCAAGCGTTTCATAGTTTAACTGTTAGATTTAGGTCTTTGATCTATTTTGAGTAGACTTTGTATACATTGTGAGTTGGGGTCCAATCTGATTCCTCTGCATGTTGTTCTAGCACCAGTTGTTTAAAAGATTATTCTTTCCCTGGTTCAGCCGCCTTGGCACCCTTGTCAAAAACTGATTTACGGCTGGGCGCGGTGGCTCACTCCTGTAATCCCAG